GTTTCAACCTGCAGTGAAACAAAAAATCCTGAAAAGCATTCGTTCGTGCTTTTCTCCTGAACTCATCTGTCAAAGTGACCCACCAACAGACGAAGGCAATTCTACGCACGAATCACGTCATTGAAAAGTACCGGTAGAAGATTTTGTGTCGCGAGTTCAGAGTTGACAATGTTCCTGAGTTTCGACGGCGCACATACCCCAGTCGACCACAGTAACCGTGATTCTATAACCATCACGGAGTATTCCTACACATGACATATCAAATCTATCCGGTTGTAGGTGAACATCGCTGATACAATCTATTAATATAAGATCATGTCCATGCCTTAAGCTGCTATTCGATCTGCGCTAAGCCACGATGACGACAGTAGCTACGTTTATTTGGATGCCAACGAAAACTGCGCCTGATTTCAACAAATCCCAGTAACCCATCTACAGAAACTACATTTAAGCCAAATAATAAACAACTCATATCCGAACAAATACTGCTCCATACTTTTGGAAAATAAGCAAACCCAGGATCAATATTTACTTTATACGTTGTTGTTCACCGTTGTTGTAGGCCACGAAACGTGATAATGATTAGCTCTTTCTGTATACATGTGATAAGGCGTTTAGTTCAAGTAGTGATACAAGCTTGATAATAGAGGAATAGATAACTGGATGAAAAGCTCGGACTGATCGGCCTGAAAGATACGAAACTCCATTCTTAACCTTCGATCTATAAACGAAGTCCATTCATTTAGAGGGTCTGACCGGATGGTCATAAAAATCAAGGACTGAAAATTGTTCTCCAATAATCCATCAAAATACAGAGCAAAACATCCTAGGAAATTAAATCCGCTACCTGATCTTTCCTCAAAGAACATCACAATGTCTCAGCTTTACGTGGTTTTCACATGCGAACTGATTTAATATCTGTTAAGTTTAAAATAATATTAACTATCAACGCAAATATTTTAAAATAAGCATTTTACGTCGTTTATGATCCTCCAATAGCGGAAAAAGTTTCTAACGTTTTGTTTACTTAGTGGATTGAAGCCTGGAGGTCAAATACGATATTAGTTCCCAAAGTATCGAATATATTTAAAATATGTCTTTAATGTTATTTGATCTTTTAGAAAGAGGACAACGACTGCCGGAAAAAATGAAGGTAAAATGGAAGCACTGTTTGAAGGTCGATGTCAGGAAATCAAAAGAAACGAGCACGCTTTCAGGAGCTTGGCTGCTGAAAGCCTCGAAAAATTGACAATAATGCTGTTAGAATTGTTCTAGGGCGCATTTACTGTTCCAACCGAGTATATAAATTTTAGTTTATGAAACTGTTGTTAAATTTTCTGCCGAAAATAGAGTAAAACCGATCTCCTAAACTGACATATATCATCGTTCAAAAGAAGACCTTCCATTGTCTGGTCAATATTGTTGTGTTGTCACAGTCATCGGAAGTTAAAAGAGCTTAAACTGCAGGGCAACACAGATTTATTGTCTGATCATTGAGTTAGCACAATGTCGTCACCTATAATTTCAGTTTATCATATGCAGTTAAAGATTACGCCTCAACCAAAATATTAAACTCGCACCGTCGTACACCATCCAGACAAAATGTCCTATAATTTAAATACTGGGCTATACCTCTAACAACTTGGGGGGGGGGTGCGGAAGAGATGAACTTCAGAGATGCTGATTTCAAAGGATAAATAGGGTAAAAATGCTCTAACTTACCGCTAATGCCCTCGGGTAATTCAACGCACTATGGTTCGGTGTAATCAGCCTCTAAACGGACAACGAATCGTTGACTCGCGAAATAGATGGCCAGCAATTGGCTAATCTGTGGTCATATCATAGTGGGTGAAAGGCGAAGTTCTTTTGTCTAAAGCAAGGGACTCTTAAGGTTGTAATTTGCCCTGGTTCAACTGATAATCTTTGTATAGTACAATAGGCACAAGCTGTAAATCACTGAAAGCTTAGTCAGTAATTTACCCTCTTTTCCTTTAAAGGGCATTAAAGGAAAAAATACATTAATTTAGTAGCGACAGAGTTTCATTTCATTACTTTTGAATCAAAGTTGCGCAAATATCCAAAAGAACCTTGGTATAAAGCCGCTGTTTCTCCAGACGGAGATATCACAGCTGCGACAGCTTGGGTACGTCTAGAGAACTCTTTCAGAAAGGAATGCGAAACAGATACTACTTGCCGAACCAACAGGTCGAAAACCCTGGAGACGGCCAAGAATAACGTGGGACAAGTGCCCAAAAACTCCG